CCCCCCACTACCCTCCCTCTACCCCTACCCCGACCCCTCCCTCCTCCGCCACCGTCGTCGGACCTGAACTTGCTGCGCTTAGGTCTCAGGCGTACCCGCGGTGGCAGAGGCTCCAGACCCTCGAGCCCCATTGCCTGTGAACGCACGAAGCAGCGTTCGTGGGTGAACGAAGCGTCGGCAACTTGATGAAACATGCAGAAAGCGACCGACCAAGGAGGAGGAGCGGGGTACAGTCCTCCCCCGCCCCCTCCCCACTTTGAAGGAGCTCGTGGTATACATTAACCCCCCGCATCGAAGACGAAGTACTAATCGTGGCATCCCGTGATTTAGAATTGATACGGGGGAGATAAATCTTAGTAGTAACTACTGTGCGTCATTCAAAGCCGGGAGCGACCGTGTCTTAACGAACACTCACTCGCGAAAACGGTTCTACTGCAAACCCTGGCATTGCCATTCGCCGGCGCGGATAGCGCAGGGGTGTTCGTGCGCGAGACCGCGTTCACTGCGCAAAACAGAGTGCGAAGCTCCGTGAGGTTATCAGCGAATCGCACAAAGAGTGTCGGTGGATCCTGCAACATGCGACACAAACGCGCTTGCGTGGCGGAGGGGCGGGACCTGCGTTGGTTGGAACGTGTGTATGGACGATAATCTCGGTAGAGCTAGCTGTCTCGTCGAATCGCCGGTATTGCCCACTACAACAAGCACGTCCATGCCTATCCATGTACTGTATGCATGCCACACCCTTGTCGTCTGGATCACGTGAAAGTGGCGGAGCGGTTGACAGCGGCAGCATTTCACCCTTGCTAGTATTCTTATCGCAGGGTCGAGGACACCAGTCGTGTGCTCCCTCTGCTTGACGAGTACACGTACATGCCAAGCCGACTCGCTCGCATTCTTGTGGGCACTCGCCCTATTCACCGAAAACAAAAGTATTGTAAATACCTGGGCCAAAAGAACTAATTCGTCCGCCCGATGCAAGCTACCCGCCCTATAGAGGGGGTTCGACGGTAGAGAGTATTCGTTACTCGATAGGGGGCGGGGGCGGGGGCGGGGGGGGGTCGACTGTATAGAGCTGTCGTCAATCGACCTCGATTGGATGCCACGACACAACCTCGATCAAACACCGCCGCTTCTCTAGTCGTACATCTCACCACAAGTTGTCCAAACGCAGTTCTGCAAATGCTGTTACTGTAGTACTACGGTCGACTTCTCTCACTCACCTTTCTGAATTCCTCTGCCCTGGGCACGAGCTGGGTATCCACGTCCTGGAAAAGCAGCCTAGGGAACTTATACACTAGGTGGCCTATTCGGGAAGTGTCCTGAACGATAGAACAAAACCATCACACGAGAGGGCGCGCGCATTCGGGAGGCGGACGTACATGCCTTTAGCGGTTAGACCATTGGCCGACTGGGGGGTCGGGCGGCGCCGCGTAGAACGGACTTAGGGCATGCTGCTCGAGGTTTGTAGCTTGCACAACGGACAGTGCTGGTATGTGCTACACCAATGCGTGCATCCGGCCGTTGCGGGAAAGAAATTCTCCCAGAGACAAAACCGAATAACGCCTCCCCGATAGATAGAAGGTTCGGAACGTGCCCACGAGCCGTCCGCGCAACACTTCCGCCGAGACTCTTAAAACGCAAAACAGCTGTAGGAGGAAGTCGCAGACTGCACATGTACCGTTGACGAATGGAAACGGGCTGAGATTGGTGAGCAGTCGAAACAACGACATGGGACAGGAAAGTGGCGAGGCAGAGAAACGAAGGTAGCACTCATCGTCACACACTAGACGCGCGGCGAGATAGACCCCCCGCATTCCCACTACAGTCGGGGCCCCTCTGTGGGTTCCAGTCAAGGAACATGGCGCGGTTGATTATCTATTGGCACAAAAATAATGGTTAAGTCGAAAGTACTATTGAATAGGGTAGGTGACCGCTTTTGGTCGGCGGGTGAACCGATCCCTGGCACCCACCCGTCCTAAATGATGCCCCCCGACAGCAGTGGGTTCGACTGCTCGCTCCCACTTGCCCATTCACAGTCCTTACCTCCACGAACAGCTCCCTCTCGAAGAATTGCCTCAGCGGTGCGAGGTTGGCCTCTGCCTCGAGGCAGCAAGCTCGAGGATGCTGGCTCAGGAGAACCGCGATCCCGCTCCTAGGGATCTCTAACACCTTTCGAAAGTATCGCAGAGCGGTGGGAGGGGGGGGCATCGGTCCGCATGCTGAACAGTTCACTTCGAGAGGTGTTGGGTGATCATCAGATTGCCTTATCTTCTCGGACATTCACATGCTCAGCCAGCAAAGACTTGCCCATCCGGCGGGATTGAAGGTAAAAGGCCGGAAACAGCAGTGGGCGTGGTGCGGCCGGAGTGAAGAGGTTCGCTCCACCAACGGAACTCGCGCAGTTCTGGTACACCTGATGGTTTTCGTTTTCCGCCATGAAAGAGGTTCGACATGCAACGATCTCCTGTTTCTTGTTCTCACCGACGAAAGAGTCCCCAACACCTCCTTCGACTCAAACGCTTGAAGTTCCAACTCCGTCCCCTTTTTCCTGTACTCTGTTCGACGAAAGTCCTTGAAGTTGCAACACCATCACCTGCTTTCTCGCTCTACCCGACGAACAGAAGTTACAGGTATCAGACCCCACACGTATGCAAGAAAGCCTGGTCCGTCCACGCTCCCCCCCCCGCGCAATGCTCCACACACAACACACACACACCTTCCAGAGGTACCTGACGACCGCCTTTAGGCGCTTCGGTCGTACTTCGAGAACCTGGGGGAACTCCCTAACCATGCCGCTAACCGTGAAGGACTGGAGGCCGACCTCCGTCCTGAGAGGAGACGACGACGTCGGGCGGTCAAACGGGGGCATCAGGTGGGGGCCCGGAAGAAAGGACTTGTGAGAAAAAGGCGTGCGAGGGGATTCGAGTCCGGGCTATTGTAGGACCACCACCACAGCAGAGGGGGGGGGGGG